CCTGCTGTTGACGTATTTTGATATTCATCAACAATAATATTACCACGTCCATCAGCTTTTACACCCTAAATACATACACATAAAATATACATTGCATTAAACGACAGAGTTTTGTTTGTTTTTTGTTCAAGAAGGCATTTTGGGAGATTGAATGTTACTTTTGTCTCTCCTGACATTTAATTTGCAAATTGCAAGTGCAATTACATGTACTGACATATTCCTCAACAAGTGGTTTTCAGAACACATGGCAACAGACAATACCTCAGTAATTATATGCATTACTGGAAGGTCAATGTCAAACAGTAGAAAATATGAAATAATTTACAATACAATGGTAATTCCATAAAATTATAAAAAATTAAACTGAAAACTGTACTGACATTTACTTGATATAATTTGGATATTGAATAGATAATTTACTCACCACTTTTTCAAGTCCAATATCACTATTTGGAATTCTACCAATAGCCCATAGTAGGCAATCAACATCATTCATTGCACCAGTAGTTGTATCTAAGGTTAGTTTACCATTCAATTCTTTCTTTACAGAAGTCACCTGTTATCAAGAACACACAAATCAATAGTTTTAAATGCCACATTTCTGTTGAATTTCCATGCCAATGAAAGAAAGCAATACTCAGCTAATAACAAAAAGTAAGTGGATGACAAGGCCAAGGAAAAGTGAAGATTATTCATAATAACAAATAAATTCGATTGTATATCTGTGGTTTGAAAGCACTTATTGAATCACGTTATTCAACACTCACGGGCCCACGTAATCTTTTGTAAGCAGTTTTCTTACTTGCATCATGGAGCTTCCTATTTATTTCCATGCTTGCATGAAACAGTGCATCATCATAAATAATTGTGGTTTATTTGAATGAACTACACAATTTAGTTATAGTACAATGTTTGCCATGTGTCTTGTCGGGTAGACAATAATGACGTTATACAGAAAAAAAAAGAAAGGCGCCAAGAAAGTTTAAAAATATACACAAATATATGCACGACTCGTACATTATAAAAAAAAGTCTTGAACAAGAACATGCATACATTTTTTTTATGCTGTGTTGGTCACCAATCACAGTAGTGATTATAATAACCTACAAAAATAACTTTGTTGAATTGTTGTGAAATGCAAACAAAATTAAACTTAGTTTCATCATGAGCAAATGATTCCGGTCACAGATATAAACGCTAGATGCTGTAGGATAACTGCCATGTTTTTTCTCTTGCATTAGTTGACAAGGAACGTGTACTTTGACGTTCCAGCACATGGTTCTATAAATGCATGGTATTTGTGATAAATGTAATTTTTTTTGAAACTACACAACTGAAGTTTTAAAATAATTTATAAGAACTGATGGGGTAATAAAACAAGCAGCCTATCGGCTGAGATAGCTCCGCTGTTAGCAATGCACATTTCAATTAAACAACTGAAGACATCATTAGAAAATGAACAATATGTATACCATAAAAACCCTCAAATAAGAGCCACTTTGTAACACTTTCATTTCTGGGTGGTGCTTATTTGAGGTAACATGTTGACAACTTTGTAGCCAGTGGCTCTTAAACCAGGGTCATCAAACTTTTTCATTGTGAAATAGGGAAGAGGATAGGCAAACACACACACAACCAAAAAGACAAGTAATTATTAATGATGTATCATTGCAATTAATTTATTCTGTAAAAATACTGTTATGAGAATAACAAACGTCAAAAAAATACGATGATTCGACGTTTCACCGACAATGTGCAGCGATGCCTGAAGTCACGTCTCACTGACAATGCGTAGCGATGCCTGAAGTCGGATTTGGTAGCACTCTCAGTTTCTGACCCAACACTCGAATCACTTGTACTTCCGTTGTACAATTGTTTACCAAGTTTGGTACGGCAAACTTTTTTCTTGAAAA